CCGGTCCGGAGCCGCGGTGCCTCCGCGGCCGTGGCAGCACCGCTCTGGCCCTGCACCGTGAAGGGAGCGGTGCGAGGCCGCTGGGTGCCGGCCGTGGGGAGGGAGGGGGTGCTCGGGGGGGGGGGTTCCCCCCATTTTGGGTGCTTCGCTGAAGCTCAAACCCGGGTCCAAGCCCCCGGCATCGCTGCCCCCGGGCCCCCCCCACCCCAGCCCAGCCTCACCCCGGGGGTGCCTTTGGGAGCCGGGGGGGGACCCGCGGCCTCTCCGGCCCCCTCCCGCCGGGCCGCGCTCCCTGCAGTGCCGGCTGCGTCCAGGGTGGGAGCTGTGCTCCGGGCCGAGCCGGGCCGAGCCGGGCGGCGGGGGAGCGCCGCGAACCCGCACCGAGAGCCCCGCACCGGGACCCCTCACCCTGCGTCGGGGCAGGTAACGGGGCCGCCACGGGCACGGGCACCGGGACCGGGGTCTCCCGACGGGAGGAGGGGGGGGGTTGGCCCCGCGGAACGGCCTCCGGAAGCGCCTCGGGGGAGGGCACCGGGCCGGGAGGGGCCCCCTTGAAGCGCAGCGGCGGAACGGGGCCCTGCCGCGACCCCCGGGCGGGCCCGCACCGGCGCTTCCGGGCTCGCAGGCCCCGCCGGGTCCCCGCAGGCCCCCGGTGCTGGCAGCGGGGAGCGGCCGCTGCTGCCCCCGTTGAGCCGCCCCCAAGCCCGGGGGTCCCGGGGCCTCCTTCCGCTCGGCCCCCGCGCTCCTTGGGCTCGGGGGTAAGGGGGGTCCGGGCCGGGTCCGCGGTGCCCGGAGCGGCCCTGGCCCAACGGGGAAGTCGTTGTGGGAGCGCCGGGCCTGAGCGCCCTGGGGCCGGGCCTCGCTCAGGGCAGGGGTGGGCGAGCGGTGGAAGGGGGGAGCTGGGCCCGGAGCGGCTGGGGGTGCCATGGGGGGGGTTGGGGGGGTCTGGGGGTGCCATGGGGGGGTTGGGGGGGTCTGGGGGTGCCATGGGGGGGTTGGGGGGGTCTGGGGGTGCCATGGGGGGGGTTGGGGGGGGCTGGGGGTGCCATGGGGGGGGTTGAGGGGCTGGGGGTGCCATGGGGTGGAGTTGGGGTGCCATGGGGGGGGTTGGGGTCTGGGGAGAGTCGTAGCGTGGGGTTGGGGGGCAGTGGGTGCCATGGGGTGGAGTTGGGGGGCTGGGGGTAACATGGGGGGGGTTGGGGGGGCTGTGGGTGCCATGGGGGGGGTTGGGGTCTGGGGAGAGTCGTAGCGTGGGGTTGGGGGCAGTGGGTGCCATGGGGTGGAGTTGTGGGGCTGGGGGTAACATGGGGGGGGTTGGGGGCTGTGGGTGCCATGGGGGGGGTTGGGGTCTGGGGAGAGTCGTAGCGTGGGGTTGGGGGGCAATGGGTGCCATGGGGGGGTTGGGGGGCAGTGGGTGCCATGGGGTGGGGTTGGGGGGCTGAGGGGGGTCGTGGGGCCTTGAACCCCGTGGGGTTTCCATGGGTGCGAGGCTGAGCCTGGTCCCGAGGCCTCCCGCCCCATTGAATCCGGCAGCGAGCGGAGGCCCTATGGGAATGGGGCTGGGAAGGAAAGGGAAGGAGCCCCCAGCCCCGTGCCCATCCGTAGCCATGGCTGGGTTTAGCCCCCGACGTGCCCCAACCTGCCCGTGCTCGGTGGTGCTGAGCACTCAGCAGTGGGTGCTGAGCCGGGGCTCACCCCAGGGCCGGATCCTGCCTTTGGGCCTTGGCGAGGCTCTGAATGGGGCCAACGCTGGGGTGATGCAATCCTGCGGGCCCAGAGCACCCATCCGCACCCAAAGGGGTGCTGAGCACCCACCCCCCCCCCCCCTTCCAGCACCCAGTGCCTGCAGGAAGGGCCGGACGGCAGCCATGGACTTTGGACCCATCCGGTGCCGGTGCCGGTGCCGGGCGGCAGAGGAAGGGGACGTTTCCTGTTTGCCGGCACCGGGAGCTGCCAAACGGGGCCGTGCCCCGGTTCCCCCCCGGTGCCATCGCGGTGCCTGCTCCGGGGCTGTGCTCCGGCCGCGGCGCCTTTCAGTGCCTCTCTTGGGGACACCCGTTTTGGGGTGACCCCCCCCTTCCCCATTGTCCACCCCAATTTGGCTGCCCCAACCGGGGCCATGGGCACAGCTCAGCTCCGTCCCCGTTTTGGCAAGGCCGGGGTCTTTATAGGTGCTGGGGTTTACCAGGGCCGCCCCATCCTTGCCCCATCCTGCCTCAGCATCCCCCTCATCCCCAACCTGCGCCAGGGCCAGGGGCCGCATCCTGCCCTGGCCCCAGCCCTGCGGTGATGGGCTCTGTTCCATCCGTGGTGCTCGGGGTGCATTCGGCTCTGCCATCCTTCCCTCCCCACCCCTGCAGCCGCCCGCACCGGGTCCATGGAGTGAGCCCGCGCCGGGCCCCCTGCACCGCGGCGGCTGCCACCATGAGCGACTTCTGGCACAAGCTGGGCTGCTGCGTCCTGGAGAAGCCCCAGCCGGTGAGTGCCTGCAATGGGGCTGCTTGGGGGGGTGCTGGTGATGGAGGGGGGGGGGCTCACGGCCTTCATCCCCTTGCAGAAGAAGAGGAGGAGGCGAATCGAGCGCTCCATGATCGGGGAGCCCATGAACTTCGTGCACCTGACGCACATCGGCTCCGGAGACATGGCTGCGGGTGAAGGCCTGCCCATGGTAACCCTGCCCTCGGCAGCAATGGGGCACTGGGGCCCATGGTTGGGGGCAGGAGGGTGGTGTTGGGGTGCTGGGGCCCATGGTTGGGGGCAGGGGGGTGGTGTTGGGGTGCTGGGCCCATGGTTGGGTGCAGGGTGGTGGTGTCGGGGTGCTGGGGCCCATGGTTGGGTGCAGGGTGGTGGTGTTGGGGTGCTGGAGCCCATGGTTGGGTGCAGGGGTGGTGGTGTCGGGGTGCTGGGTCCCTTCACCCCCATCCCTTCACCCCCATCTCTTCACCCCATCTCTTCACCCATCTCTTCACCTCCATCTCTTCACCTCCATCTCTTCACCCCCATCTCCTCACCCCATCCCTTCACCCCATCCCTTCACCCCATCCCTCACCCCATCTCTTCACCCCCATCTCTTCACCCCCATCTCCTCACCCCATCTCTTCACCCCCATCTCCTCACCCCATCCCTTCACCCCATCCCTTCACCCCCATTTCTTCACCCCATGTCTTCACCCCATCTCTTCACCTCCATCTCTTCACCCCCATCTCTTCACCCCATCCCTTCACCCCATTCCTTCACCCCATCCCTTCACCCCATCTCTTCACCCCCATCTCTTCACCCCCATCTCTTCACCCCATCCCTTCACCCCATCCCTTCACCCCATCCCTTCACCCCCATTTCTTCACCCCATGTCTTTCACCCCATCTCTTCACCCCATTCCTTCACCCCATCCCTTCACCCCATCCCTTCACCCCATCTCTTCACCCCATTTCTTCACCCCATCTCTTCACCCCCATCCCTTCACCCCCATCCCTTCACCCCCATCCCTTCACCCCATCCCTTCACCCCATCCCTCACCCCATCTCTTCACCCCATCTCTTCACCCCATCTCTTCACCCCCATCCCTTCACCCCCATCCCTTCACCCCCATCCCTTCACCCCATCCCTTCACCCCATCTCTTCACCCCATCTCTTCACCCCATCTCTTCACCCCCATCCCTTCACCCCCATCCCTTCACCCCCATCCCTTCACCCCATCCCTTCACCCCATCTCTTCACCCCCATTGCACCCCTATTCCTTCCCCCCCCCTCCCTTCCCCCCATCTCCTCACCCCCTCCCTTTCCCCCCTCCCCACAGACCGGTGCTGTGCAGGAGATGAGGTCCAAGGGTGGATGGGAGCGGCAGTGGAGCGGCTCCCGGGTCTTGTAGCATGTGAGTACCGGTGGTGGGGGCCCTGAGCACCCAGCACCCCCCTCCCACCCCCCTGGACACACCATGGGGCGCTTCTGTAACCGCTCTTCTTGCCCTTTGCAGATTCCTGGGGTTTTCAGCCCAAACCTCTCCTGCCTGAACCCCAATGAGAGCAGAGGCCGCCCTCGAGTGCTTGCACCCTGCGGCGATTTATGCAGCGCAGCCCTCGCCCGCCTCCCGGTGCCTCCCTGCTTCCCGGCGGCGCCGGCCCCGCGATGCCTCGTGCCCCGGCAGCGCCGCAGCGGGCAGGACGCGGCTGCCTGCGGGATGTGCCAAACCCCGGGGCTCCAGCCCTGCCTCCGCGCCGGGCCCCGGTGCCTCGCTCCCGACGGGGATGGCGGCGGCGGCGCTGAGGCTCCTCGAACGGCGCGGGACAGCAAAACTGATGCCTGTGGCTTGAGCCTCCGGTGCCTCCGGGGCAGCGTGTCCAGCACTGCCTCCTTTTTTAGGATAGAGAGGTCTTTTTTAAGCTCCCCCCCCCCCAACGCCATCCGGGCGGCCGCGGGGGCAGGACTGCAGCGCTCTCCTCTGGGATCACCGCCAGCGTCGCGCTGGCGCTGGCCGAGGCAGGACGGGGCCTGAGCCGTGGCGGTGCTCGGGCTCCTGACTTCGGGCTCGGGTGTACATAGTTCAACCAGCGCCAGGATCCCCGGTCCCGCAGCAGCCGCCGGGCGTCGCGGCCGAGGCGGTCACCGCGCTCCGTGCCGCGCCGCGATGCTCCCGTGAGGACCCGCGCTCTTCCCGGCCCCGTGGGGTGCGCGGTGCTGGTGGAACCAACCCGTCCTTGCAATAAACCCTTTGTGCTGGCCCAGGAGCACGCCTGCAGGTGCCCACGCTCCCTCCCTGCCCCGCGCTGCCAGGGAAGGCCCCACGCAGTGGGCACCGTGCTCCTGTCCACGGCCTTTATTCACCCATGGGTGCCGGTTGGGGCACACCGAGAGCCACTGATGCCGCTGCTTGTGTCTCTGGGGCTGCGTCCCCTTCTGCTGCCAGCCCAGCTTGGCGGAGGGAAGAGCATCCTTGGCTGGTACCGCGCAGGCAGCGCCCATCGTTCCCCCCCACACCGAGACCCAGAGGGTTTGGGGCAGGAGCCCAAGGCTCCCACCATGGGTGCTGAGCCCTGCGTTACCCCCCAGGCTCCACCGCGCCCTCATCCGTGCTCTCCTCCCCGTGTCCGTGCTCCAAAAGGCTCCCATTGACAGCGAGGTTTGCACCGCAGGAGAACAGGGATCCCGGGATCCCCCTTGGGGCGAGCTGGGCCGTACCCACATCGCTTTCACGTCTCGGTGATGGGAGGGATTCAGCTCTCGGGCTCCCTGCCGTGGCCCTGCAGGATTAGGAGCAGGAGTTGGGTGTTTGCACTTCGGGATCTGGTTTCTGGGGTGCCCGAGAGGCCGAGGGTTCGGTGCCCAAGACCGGGCAGATCGCGGTGCTCACGGGAGCACTGGTGCCGGGGTTCGGTTCCATCGGGAGCGGGTTTGGGGATGTGTTCGTTCCTGCCCTGGCTCCTCTCGTGGTGCTTTGCCGAGCGCCCGTGGCTGGAAGGGGACGGCCACGTGCGACACTGAGGCAGCGGGGAAGCGGTGGGTTTGTGAAGGGAGTTCAGAACGCCATGGGGCAGGAATTCCTTCAGACTGATCGGTGGGGAAGAGGAAGGGCAGCAGCCAGCTTCCGGAGGAGGAGGAAGCGGAGGTGACTGTGGCAGGGCCAGCGGAACAGAACACAGCCGTGTTCCCACAGGAGAGCCCTGAACAGCAGCCGGGACGCCGCTAACGCAGAGACCCTCGTGTCCTCCCCCAAGAAACGTGCACCTTGCTCTCCCCTATCCATCCCATCCTATCCTATCCCGTCCTATTCCTTCCCATCCTATCCCATCCTATTCCTTCACATCCCATCCCATCCTATCCCATCCCATCCTATCCCATTCCATCCTATCCCATCCTATCCTATCCCGTCCTATTCCTTCCCATCCTATTCCTTCGCATCCCATCCCATCCTATCCTATCCCATCCTATTCCTTCCCATCCTATCCCATCCCATCCTATCCCATCCCATCCCATCCTATCCCATCCTATTCCTTCCCATCCTATCCTATCCTACCCTATCCTATCCCATCCCACCCTATCCCATTCTATCCCATCCCATCCTATCCCGTCCCACCCTATCCCATCCATATCCTATCCCATCCCATCCTACCCTATTCTATCCCATCCCATCCTATCCCATCCTATCCTATCCCATCCTATTCCTTCCCATCCTATCCTATCCCATCCTATCTCATTCCATCCTATCCTATCCCATCCTATTCCATCCCATCCCATCCTATCCTTTCCCATCCTATTCCTTCCTATCCTATCCTATCCCATCCCATCCTATCCTATCCTACCCTATCCTACCCCATCCCACCCTATCCCATTCTATCCCATCCCATCCTATCCCATCCCACCCTATCCCATTCTATCCCATTCTATCCCATCCCATCCTATCCCGTCCCACCCTATCCCATCCGTATCCTATCCCATCCCATTCATCCCCTCCCTATCCTATCCCATCCCCATCCCATCCCATCCTACCCTATCCTATCCCATCCCATCCCATCCTACCCTATCCTATCCCATCCCCATCGCATCCCATTCATCCCATCCTACCCTACCCTACCCCATCCCACCCCATCCCATCCCATCGCCACCCCATTCCCAGCCCTATCCCATGCGCAGTGCTCGGGACAGCCTGGAATTATGGGATGCTCCCCGCTCCCCCCGGTACCGCTGCCCCCGGTACCGCGGTTCCTCTCTCAGCCGCCAGGAGGCGCCGCGGCAGCGGGTACCGGACGGGCGCCGCGCTCCTTGTATGGACATGGCCACGCCCCTCTCCCCGCCCCATCCAGCACAGGCTCCGCCCCCTCGCCGAGGCCGCCCCGGGTCCTAGCGCCCGCCCGCCCGCTCATCCCTGGCGTCCCCGCATGGGCCCCGGCGGCTCCGGCTCCATCCCGGCTCCCACCAGCACCGCTCCTCTCTGCCCCTTCAACCGGTCTCTATGGGTCCCTGCGCGTTCCTTTGGGTCTCTGTGGTTCACGCAGGGGGCCTTTAGGGTCTGGGGAGTCAGTTGTGGGTCCCTGGGGGACACTTATGGGTCCCCAAGTGTCACTTATGGGTTTGGGGGGAAACGTTTATGTGTCCCAGGGCTCAGTTATGGGTCCCCCAGAGGCCATTTGTGTGTCTGGAGGGGTCACTTATGGGTCTGGGGCTCAGTTATGGGTCCCAGGAGTCAGTCCTGGGTGTGTAGGTGGCACCTGCGGGTCTCTTGGCCTCCAGCTTGGTGTCCTCCACGATGCCCTCGCTGCTGGTGTCCAGCTCGGCATCTCCTGGTGTCCCCACATGGCCTCATCCCTCAACCAAATCAGACCTCCAAGTGCCATCCCATCATGCCTTGCTCCCAGCCCCACGCCCGCCCCACAGCTGCCCATTGACACCTCTCCAGCCCCCAAGGCTGCTTCAGGTCATGTTGGGTCAATGTTAGGTCAACGTTGGGTCAACATTGGGTCAATGTTGGGTCACTTAGTGACATCATCAGGCCCTGCCTTGGGCAGGGAGGGGTGGTGCTGAGGTCAGAGGTCACGTGGGGTCATGGGGTCACATGGTCTTGGTGGTGGGGTCACTCCTCATCGTGCAGCTTCTAGGGTAGGACAGGAGATGGAGCACGGTTATGGGCAGAGCCATGGGGCAGAGCCATGGGGCAGGGTGGTGGTGGAGGAGGACCCACCTTGGTGCTGATGTCCCGGCTCTTGGCCTTCAGCTTGTTGACCTGGGACTCAGCCATGTCGGCGCGTTCCTCAGCTTCATCCAGCTCATGCTGCACCTTCCGGAACTTGGTCAGGTTGGTGTTGGCTTGTTCCTCCTGCAGGGGGTGACTTTCTGCTCCATCCGTCCATTGTCCATCATCCACCCATCCATCATCCATCCATCATCCATTCATCATCCATCCATCCATCCATCCATCATCCATCCATCCATCCATCCATCCATCATCCATCCATCCATCATCCATCCACCCATCCATCATCCATCCATCATCCATTCATCATCCATCATCCATCCATCCATCATCCATCCATCATCCATCATCCATCCATCCATCCATCCATCCATCCATCCATCATCCATCCATCCATCATCCATCCATCCATCCATCCATCCATCCATCCATCCATCATCCATCCATCCATCATCCATCCATCCATCCATCATCCATCCATCATCCATCCATCCATCATCCATCCATCCATCATCCATCCATCATCCATCCATCCATCATCCATCCATCCATCCATCATCCATCCATCATCCATCCATCATCCATCCATCATCCATCCATCCATCATCCATCCATCCATCATCCATCCATCATCCATCCATCATCCATCCATCCATCATCCATCCATCCATCCATCATCCATCCATCCATCCATCCATCATCCATCCATCCATCCATCCATCCATCCATCCATCTATCCATCCATCATCCATCCATCATCCATCCATCCATCATCCATCATCCATCCATCATCCATCCATCCATCCATCCATCATCCATCCATCATCCATCCATCCATCCATCATCCATCCATCATCCATCCATCCATCATCCATCCATCATCCATCCATCCATCCATCATCCATCCATCCATCATCCATCCATCCATCCATCCATCCATCCATCCATCCATCCATCATCCATCCAACCATCCATCCATCCATCCATCCATCATCCATCCATCCATCATCCATCCATCCATCCATCCATCATCCATCCATCATCCATCCATCCATCCATCATCCATCCATCCATCCATCCATCCATCCATCCATCCATCCATCCATCCATCCATCATCCATCCAACCATCCATCCATCCATCCATCCATCATCCATCCATCCATCATCCATCCATCCATCCATCCATCATCCATCCAT